CCTCGCTGCTTTCACACGGGGCCCCGAGTCCATCTGACTGTTGTGTTGGGGTGTCCTTAGCACACCCCTTCATTCTGCTTTTGATGTAGGGGGCAGCAGTCGTTGATGAGAAGGAGTGCAAGTGACTTCCGTTCTAACCTGAAGTGCCTCCCGTGTGGAGCTGCAGGGCACGTGCAGGGCAGCGGACCTGGCAGGGTGATGAAGGACAGCAGACCTGGGAGGGTGATGAAGGACAGCCAGGCACTGATATGCAGGCAGACAGTCAGGGAGACGCGCGGACAGACAGGCAGGCAACCTACTTTGCAGGACTTACTTTGGTCATCTAACTGGCACAGATACCGATACAATGCAGATACACAGTCACAGTCTCTCTCTCTCTTTCTCACACCCACAAACATGATTTCTGATAGCTATCTATCTGTTTTTTCCGCAGACATTCATTAATCTCTCCTCCCTCGTATTTACTGCATTTTACTGCTCTGATCACTTCATCAGCACCGTGCCCCTCCCGACCTCATGCTCCGCTCCTGCTACCATAGGCCTTCAGAAGCTGGGGGAGGGGGGATCCAGCTCTGAGAGACATGGCACTGAGGCCAAATGTTGACTCTGTGTCTCCAAAGGAGCAGGAATATAAAGTTTTTTTTTTTACAAGACACTTTGAAGGAGGAGGGCTGTTGTGTGTGTGCTACCCGCCAATTCAGGTTTAACAGCATGCCATCGAGACAGCCCCTCCCTTCCTGTTCACCGTAAATGACACGTTTGTGTCCATGTGTGCCCAGCTCTGTCTGCCTCTGTCCTCTTTCCCTGGAAGCCTCCATATGAGCCTCCGTCAGTGAGGGAGCCTCTATACGGGCCTCCTTTGGTGTGGGAGCCTCTATACGGGCCTCCCTCGGTTTAGGAGCCTCCATATACGAGCCTCCGTCAATGAGGGAGCCTCCATACAGGCCTTCATCGGTGTGGGAGCCTCCATACAGGCCTTCTTCAGTGAGGGAGCCTCCATACGGGCCTCCATCAATGAGGGAGCCTCCATACA